AAGAATATTATCGACTCGTTAATAGATTAAAAGTTGCGCAATTAACTAACGAGCCTTCTTAGCCTACCCTTTAACAGATAAGCAGTATTAGTAATTCACAGCAGTAGGAATTCTCCACTGTGATAGACAGTATGAAGACATTCTATCTAAACCACTGATGTGTCCGTCATTTATTTAGCGTACTGTGAAAATAAAAAGTAATCATTGAATGGGAAAGTAGAAAAAAACTAGCATGCCGCACACCTTTTAATGTGAAAATGAAAACCGAGATTTCCTCCCACAAATATTTTTTTTTTTTTTTTTTTGTATCCTTTAGTTCCTAGAGGAACATAGGGCTTCAGCTGCGCACCTCCATTTACTTCGGTTTTCTGACAACTTTTTCACCCTGCTCCAGGTCTGCCCACATGTCCCACAAATATAGGTCAATTTAATTTTGTTTTAACAGAAAGAATCCCTTTTCAATATTTTCAGACACAAGTTAAATTTACCAGGTAACTTACACATCAAGTAGTGATCTAATGGCCTTGAAAATCCAATGGTTACACATAACATCTTACAGTCAGAAGTACCAATCACCTCACTGAAGTTATCTAATCAATAGATTTAAAGTTATTAGGCCAATGCTGTCTATTGTCAAAAAAGACACGTAAACTAAGCACATAGTCTATTGACCTAAGCTTGAAAATTGCAAAAATAATGAAATCATGCTGAATGACTAATTCTGACTTGACATTTATCGACCTGAATCCTTCCCTTCCATATTTCAGCCTACACAAATTTTTTAAATTAGATAACCCGCCGTCGCTAATCATTCCATACAAGTTAAGTATTGTTATTTGTTGTAAGACTTAAGTCAGTTGATTAATGTTCATGATTACTAATCACAAAAAAAACCAATGGAGAGGAAACCATCAGTGAGGATAAAAGCTATGACGAGGTGTCTTCATGAATGGTATAGCAAACGCCAAAAGAAATACCCCAGCTGTGGGAAATAGGTGATCAAAAACTTTTAAAACAGTAGATGGTAACACATGATATAGTTACAGAATTACTCTAAGCATATAGAAGAAAAATCTTAAGAGACCAACTAGCTGAGAAAATTCAAATTTTAACCTATCGCCGCCATTTCAGCCGCGCTATTGAAACAAAAGTGCGGAGAATTCGTTTTGCTATATACTGACTCAAAAAAATACTACAAAAAAATGGAATCAAAGTTAATTTGTTAATTTTTTTTCTTTATTTTACTTAAATTCCACTGTTATTATTTTACGTTACACTTTATATTCAGATCATTTGTTTTACTAAATCACCAACCAATTTTAAGAAATCAGTGATAAAACACTTTTTTCACACATGATTAAACTGTACTTTCTTCTAAATTCTGAGACTGGTGAGGGGAACGAAAATGTTAAACCATATATCTATCAATACATGTAGTTGTAATAATATTTCATTTTATTCAAGAACGGTACTTGTAATACAGCATAGAATTCTCAGTATTTCGCACAATACTGCATCTAGCTTACTCAAAAAACATTACATGTTATAGGTAAACAAAATCGATAATGGCAACTTTTAAGCAATAACAATAAACTTCGACAGTGTACAAAAAGTATAAAATCACAATAATAACTAAAAACTTATTCCTTAAAAATAGAAATAGCTTCACCATAAATTTTAAACGGAAAATAAAAGAGCTATTTATTTTGTTAATAACTTAGTAATTTGTAAGTTTCCCGCCTAACACGACCTCTATCACATGGAACACGCCTGAGACAAATGGGGTATCGCTGAGTTTTTGTACTTAGTTATATCCGCATCTAATCTTTTGCAATGACTTCTAATGATATCTGGAGAGATGCAACGGGAATGCCGTTATTAGAGAGGGTGTTAGGATCCACAAAATGTGGATTTAAGCCATTTCTCACATAGGTTCAAGTATATATCGACTACAGTAATAACCAGCTAACTTGATGGCACACCACCTGCCCTACTGACGATTTTTAATACCTTGCGCAAGATGTCACATAGCTTTTTTGAAGCAGCCCAGGAAAGACTAAGATGGGAGAAGCAATAAAGAACAATAAGTAGGATGCGAGAGTTAGCAAACTGTAAAAGCAGAGGATGAGAGATACCTGATTGTCTTAAATTCCCAATATTTTCCCTAGAAACAAACAAGATGTGGGATTATCAATAAAGGTCAGAGGATTTAACTATTCCAGGGTATTTAACTCTTGACTAAGTTTTATTTCAGTGCCTTCTATGCTACAAGCATCTTGTGGAAGAACCAGCTAGTCTAGATCACGTTTATGACTGAAGGTGAAGTTAACTATCTTCCATTTGGAAGGATTTAACATCACACCATTTAACTTAGACCACTAGCTGGCGTCCGACCAAAAGCTACCTTTTCCCCAAAAATTTTTTGTCGAAATGTCACAGCTCACTGAAAGCAAGACTGTTTCATCATAATTTAGCACAATTCAGAATACTGCTCCCATATTCCTGTACAGAAGAGAAATTGCAACAGGAAGTTTTGTGGCAATCATATTATAATACTGACCAATTTACTGTAGTGCATTACATTGTTATTCGCCCATGAATAAAATTAGCTAAAGACTATTTCATACCGAAGTAAAAATATTAAAAACGTAGACAGTGTACTGAATAAAATAAATATATCATCAAATGCCTAGAGGAGAATGTGATAATTTAAGGTTTTGTAGAGTCAGTATAGTTTCATTTACATGTGCCTAAGAGAAAAAAACCCAATAGACAGAACACCTTAGCACCTGTGACCCATTCTAATTTAGCCTGTAATTTGAACATACATATAAAAGGCAAAATAAGACTTACTAGGGCATTTTAATTATCAAATAAATAATTAGGTATGAATGTGATTAACCACAAATCCATAAATTTTGCGTAAAATATAAGGACGCAGTGTTGCGTATATTGCTGATACCGGAATTTGCAGTTAGCGACTATTGCAGTATAAATATGTAGCCGACTTGCAGTGCTTTGGTAAGGCTCTATTTGAAAACAAAACATGGTGTGTCTGACAGTAAAAATGTTCACGCAAAATAAGCTTTTAGGGAGAAGAATTTGAGTAAAAATCCGGTTATTTCTCCCATCAGCCGAATTACATGCAAACTACAAATTTTGCGACAAAAACAACTTTTTACATGACTTTCTTAATGAAATGTTTAACCTTATTAGTTTGCTGAAAACACTTCCGAAACCTTTAAAAGTTCCAACTGTCATTATTATTTATTATTATTATATCCCTTAATTCTTAGAGGAACATAGGGCTTCAGCTGCGCATCTCCATTGTCTTCTGTTTTCTGCCAACTTTTTCACTCCGCTCCAATTATGCCCACATGATTTCATCTCCTCTTTACATGACCTCCTCCAAGTCACCCTTGCACCGACGACCAACTCGCCGCTTCCTTTTGGGGTTTCACTCGAGCAATGGCTTGTCTAGTGATGTTACTTGATGGTTTCCTCAGGGTGTGGACAATCCATCTCCATTTCTTCTTGCCTATTTGTTTGACAATCGGTTCCTGCTGAGTTGGTTTGCTCCCAGAGATCCCTGTTGCTGATCTTTCCTGGTGGGCCATCTGATCTTGAGTATTGAGTGAAGACAACTGTTAATGAGGGTCTGAAGTTTGCTTGAGATGCTCTTTATGACGCGCAATGCAAGTTTCTGATCAGTATAGTAGCACTGACTTTACATTGAAGTTGAAAATCCGGATCTTATTTTTGCTTCATGCTGAGTGCTGTTGACCTCCACACAGACTTCAGGGTAATAAAAGTTTGTCTTGCTTTTCCGATTCTGGCTTTGATATCCTCGTCAGTTCCGCCTGTAGTTGAAACGATACTTCCCAGGTAGGTAAAGGAGGTTGTTTCTTTCAGGTTCCTCCCATTTATGCTGGCTGATTGTTGTCTGTTGTTGTTGCTGTTGATGTTAGCCAGGAATCTTCATTACCTCTGTTTTATCTATGTTCACCTGAAGTCATATCTTTGATGCTTCTTCTGCCAGCTTGTTGCTTTTCACTTGCATATCTTCCAGTTTATGGGAAATCAGACATACATCATCGGCGAAGTCCAGATCCTCCAAGTTTTTTGTATGAGTCCATTTTATGCATGTTTCCCATTCCCGTTCCATCTGCTTTCACATATTCCCAGTACTTGGATTCCGTATCTTTTCATCTCGTTTGCAATCTGGGCAGCTTTGCCAATCTCGTACATAGTGTGGACGTTCCATGTCCCCACACAGACTTTTTCTTTTGGCGCAAAGAGATTCATCGTGATGAAGTTTCTGTAGTAACTTTGTTTACGGGGTGGGTTTGCTAGCATCACGCCTGTCATGAAATTGCTATACTTACGTAAATGCCTGGTGACTAATGTTAAATATCACTAAGTAAATTAAATCTATTGCCAAGTTTTATAGAATTCTAACAATTTACGCTGTATCTCTTAATATACCTGTCGCTAATACGTTTATTGGTAGTGAAACGTCGTGAGTAGTGGGTACGTCAATCCGAATGCAAAAAATGCCTGCCAATAAAATTAGACAGATTTATTACATCATTGAGAATTGAATATAGCCAACCCATTGGCTGTTTAGTAAGTTCCGCTGACGGTGATGGATGACTAAACAAGAACAATTGTGTAGTTCCAAACTAAGACTAAACAAGCATCTAACACATTTTGATCTTGATTATTTCTCCTAATGATAATGACCTGCAAATGATGGAATCTAAACAAACACTGAGCATTTCATCTCATGTTCATCAGGTAATAAAGTGACTTCGCTTCTACCAATGATCACAAGTCATTTGTTTTTATTCTAACTGAAATGATCAAGTTACATTTTACCTTCATAAATTTGACAATCTGTAATTCAATTATAATAATTATAACAATTGTTTAATAAGTTTAAAGCCATTGTATTCCCCTAGACCATTTCCCTTTCTTTTCACACTGTTATTGTCAAGCAGGACCGAATGTAGGAAATAATGCCAGAGAAAATATGACAGGAAACAACTTTCCAGTACAAAATAACCAGTATAAAAAGATTACACCATCGACCTCATATACAGATGCTTTGAATCTAGCTGTTGCTGCCAATGCTGCATTAAGCGAAGCATTCCATCAGTCAACACGTAAGTATTGCTTTATTGGATTGCCTTTTAATCTTTTTTTCGACAAATATTTGACGTAAATAAATTCTAGTACCTTCTCAAAAAAACTGGTATACATCCAAATACATAAATAAATTAAAAACAAAAATTAATTACACTATTAGACAGTAAATTATGCGCTCTCTACGAATCACTGTGATATAAATCTGGTGAAGGTTGTTGCAATCATAAGTAAAATATGTTCCGAGGCATATTCAATTGATCTTTCATAACTCTTTAAAAACCTACTTTGTTTTTTGCACAATATATTATTGGTCCGTGGATAGTTTACCCTATCAGCTGAAGTAATAGTTCGGCTTAAATGAGGTTTTCAGGCAAATCACACCATCTCCTTAAGGATAAAATGAACGAGTATCCACTCACTCTGAAAACAGCATACATAAGGATCATAGTAAGATTTAATGTAATTAGATAAATCCCTATTATCCCATTTGTAATCATCTATTACACGTTTATCAACATACAGAAATATTATCGTGTGACATCGTTGTATCTCACTGTGTATATATAACACCATAATAATCACTAACCGAAAGCAGAGTCTCACGGTTTTAATATTTTTCCACCATTCTACTTAGAAATGGAATAGGTTTTCCGTTTCCCAACAAAAAGCTTATAATAAGGCCTAGTTTTAAGTGTGGGTAATAATTCAATGAATACTTGGTAGGCAATCAGTTCTTTTCTTCGTGTATGTGTTGGTGCTTTTGAAAAATGAAAACTGCCAACGCCTAAAATAAACTATAAACAAACTTCATGTCGAAAAATGTTGAATGGAACGGTTTTAATCAGAGGAAAGTCAAACGTGTTAGTCCTTTACACCGAACACCAGATAGTAACTAAGATTATGCGCCTAGTCCTTCTTTTGGTGCAGACCTAATTCTGTCGGTCAATGTTGAAATGTTGTCAGTCGGCACGAAACAAAGGACTAGGTGCATGACATTAGTTACTCCTTAGTATCCAGCCAACGTACTCATTACATGTCAGTCGCGCCGCCGAATAGCTCAGTAATAGCATCTCTGACTGCAACACTAGGTGGTCTAGGTTTTAATTTCAGCATGGACATTAGTTCTTTGAATATTATAGGTAGGCCTTACTGATGAGTGCTAACAAGCACGAAACATAGGTTTAAGGTTTCCTGACTACTGTCTCCAACCATCTAATAACAATATAAGTCCTTGAAATTCGATCCATGCAGTGTCACAAATGAACATTCCGCTAGCATACAAAATCTACGCTACGTTTCCGTATAAAGCAGCTTTTATATGACTCCAAATAGATTTATTGTTTGGTGATAAAAACAGAATGCAAAATGCATCAGTCACTTTAAACAAATATAGACTAATCTCGTTTTTCTATATTTTGACAGCTCCTACGGATACCTTTCAAAGGACCTCCTCTACCAATCACATCACGCCCTTGTGAGTCTATTAATATTCATTACCTATATTTTTTATAAAATTTACAGTTTTTAAATCTTTCCTTTTGGCTATCATTATCAGTAAGCAACACCTTGATGATGGAATGCTAAAAGATGTTAGGAAGGCTGGAGAAAACGAGCATTATTATAATTCTGAACTCCATGGTGGCATCTATATTTAGATATGGCTATGGGGCTTTTCAATTATGTTTCACTACTGCAGCCACAATAAGATTAATCAGAAAGACTTACAACAGTTATACCAATTAAAACAAATAGATACATCATATTCATAAAAATAAACAAAAATAACTTTCACAACTGATTTACTGAGATGAGTAGCTGTTACCAACTGATATCAAGCAGCGGTGCTTGTCAACCAGGTCGAAGTGACCTAAATACCGGGCGACCGTTTCGCTCGTTTGGGGCTGAGACGATTAGCGGTGTGCCCTGTTTTGACTTTGCTAAAAGAAACAAATCAGTTCAATCCACACAATTTCTAGCTAACTATTTGAATTAACCAGTGATATTCATGAATCAGCTTGGGAATCTCACCAATTAACTCTCAATTTGCACAGTTTGAGGTAATCGTTTCAGCACAGTTTCCTCTGGAAAACAAGATTACTCAGGTTACAATATGTAACCTGCCTCATACTATCATCTGTAATCAAAAAACTGATACAAACAATAGCAGAATTCTTGTCAAATAAAGTTAAGACTTCAAAGGTCTCACCTCTGTAAGACTGTAAATATAGTCTCCACAGTTATTCCATTTAATTTATTGAAGGAGATTTTGAGCACTATCTTTTCTCGAAGTCACAACATAATTATTTCATAACTTGCAGATTAGCATCACAAGACGCTATTGCTTCCCTTCATCGAAGAATGCATTGTACTACTGTGTACCAAATGAAATAATTCTTTAAGCCGCGCTCCCCCTCCGCTGATTAATCCATCAACACCTAAATAGCCAGACTATTAATAAAAATGCAAGCAAGACAAAAATAGTCTTGTTTTGCTATCAGTAAACTGCATGTTTTATCAGGATTTGATGCCTTCTGCCTCACTATTCGTCAAAATCTGTGACTTGTCAAATTAAATATAAACCTAATGTACCTGACATTCCTAATAAGATGGTATTGATTTATGAGACATTTGAAGTGAGAGTCTACGGCAAATAACCAATAGAAATTATTCAGGCACCAACTACCAGCGTAATTCAAGGCAGATGTTTAGACGCACTCAAAACATGCAAAATTCTATAAATTTTACCCAAACATTTGTTGATATTCCCCAAAAATAATTGCAGTCTGCCTCATTTATGTCAGACACTAAGGTGTTATTCCTAAAGGTGCTAAAAATAAGTTGGTCATTTTTTTCATGTTTGAATGACAGTTATAATATCACCCAAAAAAATTCCTACTAATTAACTAACTGTCCTACATTTTTATTCAAGTTAAATACTACCGAGGAATTCAGTAATCTTATGAATTTTGATTATTGTCAACGGAGATTTAAATATAACATCTGAATTCAGATTCTACTGTAGTGAACAGTCTTACATCCTGGAACTCGAGTCTTGAAATAAGTAAATTCTGGAGTTTACGGAATCCGTATAGCTTCTGATAATAATAATAATAATAATAGCTTCTGATCAAGTAAAAATTAAATTTGATCCAGACGTAGTAGCCCACTCTAACTACTAATTAGACGTATCCAGAAGAAAGCCCAGTGAAAGACTCCATAACATGAAAGTGCACAGCTTAAATAACGAATGATAATGGCATTCGAAGTTCTTGTTTCCAGTTGCTGTTGATTTCAGATTCAGACTAAAAGTACATTTTTCAAGTACTGGTTTGTAGGAGTTTCGTTCGATTTGTTGAAGGATTTCACCATGAGCAGACATCAGTCAGATAACCATTGGTAAACTTGAGAATACTAGAAGACTGTTTCGTCCTAGTTTGGGACTCTTCAGAAGTACACACCCACCACCACGGTTCGAAACCAGGGCCTTCTGGTTACAAGATGAGCTCGCAGACCATTAAACCACTGGGATCCGACTCAATGGCACATAAATTCTAACCACTGCCGATTCACGACACTGCGTAACCACTTAGTGATGTCTTCAGGCTCGTCTACCATCTCACCTTGTAACCAGAAGGTTCTGGGTACTGCTGAAGAGTCCTAAACTGCGATGAAATAGCTATCCAGTACTCCTTGGCGGTTTTCCAATCGTTCTCTAACCGATGTCAGCTGATTATGAAATCCACCAAAGAAAAAGCACTCTGTAAAATACAACTGAAGTTTCAGTGACTTCTAATCTAACAGCCTTTAGTGTGTCTTCTACACGACAACCATTTTGGTAAATGTCACCCAATATCTCTTCTGTCAAATATGATATCGATCAATGCATTAAAATTCACATAATTCATTTGGTCTATAACTGATACATTATATCTGTTGTTTTTGTTCTTCTCACTGACCAAAACCCCATCGATCAACACAAACACACATCGAGAATTATGCAAGAGGGAGAAAAATAAGAAAACAAATAATTCCTCTCATTTAAAAATGTTATTTATTAGTGACAGGAAATCTCTGTTTTTTTTTGAAAAAAGAAGCCCACTGCTTTCAACTTTCCCTATTTTTGCAAAGACATCATTTATCAAGTTTTATTTATGCAAAACTTTAAGACTTTTTGATTAAATTTTATTATATTTTATGAATATTTTGATCCTTATCTTTGTGTACAAAATCCAGTACGCGGACAGAAGTCGCTTTTCTTATTAATAGGGTAAAGTCAGTAATATATATATATATATATATATATATATATATATATATATATTCAATGAATTCAAGTTGCGTGTTATGAATTTCTGTTCATCTCATAAGAAGGACACTTATTAGTTTAATATATAGGTAACATTATCAGTAATTGGAATTTATATATATATATACATGCTGCAAAGGTGAAATTTTGTCACTCACTAGGGAAATCATAGCTGTTAAAAGTAAGAAACAAGTAATGATTTTCAACAGAAATATATTATATGCATTAGGAACGTAAATTAACTTTTTAAACTTTTGTCATTATGTACCAAAAACTATAGAGGTAATTGGGTTAAAGCACTTTCAAGTTATGGTTGAACAATTCTTCTTCTTAGGGACAAGGGTTTCACTATCGGTAAGAAAAGTGACTGCTAGCAGTCGCATCTCTCTAATAAATTATACGAAGTAAGGATAAAGTTATGAAGCGATTTTAAGTGCTCTACTGCGTTCCATGCGAAGGAACCTTTGTTGAAACAACTTGTAGAGGAATCTCTTCTTCAGTGGGGAGGAAATGCTAAGATGCTTGACTTGACTGTGAAAAGATGAATTCCGTTTTACCTGGGAATTTCGAAAATATTCAAGTGTTGGTTTACAGGGATTCGATTGGTTAGAGGTGTCATCACCAGGTGACATTAATCACAGAACCACAGAGTACTGGATATCCGTTTTTAGCCTGATTCGGGACTCTTCATCAATATAAATCCTTTTGGGTTTCGAACTCAGTATCTATCAGTTATAAGGGTTAGTAGAGATGAGGAGTCTCAAACTATGACTAAACAGCTGTCCAGTACTCCCGTAATTCAAATGGTCCTCTAACTGATATCAGCCCGTGAGCAAAGTTATAACCAATCAAAGCCTCTCAAACTGACAGTCGGTAATTAATCTAATGCTCACCAACCACTGGAGCTCTGGTAAGAAGTCATAACAAATGGGCCCCACCGATAATGCGCGACAGTCGCTCCATATATCATGAATTGCCGGTAGCTGAAATTCATGGGCCATTGGATCAGATTCCCGTGGCTGAATGGTCCACGAGTTCTCCTTGTAACCGGAAGATCCTAGATTCCAATCCAAGTAGGTATGTACTACCGAGTGACTGAAACTAGGACGAAATAGCTTTCCAATACTGCCCGGTCTCCCAATGGTATTCTGACTGATGTCATTTCAAAAATGGTTTTATCTAGTAAGGTTAACAAAAGGGGATTATTTTATCTACTTTTGCATCTATTTTTATCACATTGCAGAAAAATGATTTCTTTTATTCATGCTCCCTCGTTTAAATTTTAATTACCATATTTTAAGAAAAACACAAAAATGCAAAACTCAGACTTCAACGGTTCTTCCAGAATCTCTCAATACTGATGAACAAGCTGCAAGTGAAATAAGTCCTTTGCCGAATGAGATTGTGCAAACAGAAAATAAAAACAGATTTTCGCATGGAGGTAAATTTATCAAGCACCAAAAGAATATGTCTCTTTCACCTATTTCATCAACTGTTCAATCCAGCCAAGGCGACAAATCACCCATAGGGAAATGGACTGGTACAAATAAGTCACAAAACTTAACAGTAGAACAAATATTTAATACAGAGTCGAAGAATGGAAGCCCAAAACCATTGATCAATGATAAGAAACCCAGTGACTCAATAAACCCAAGTACTGAAACCAGACGTCCTCAAGGTCGTCTCCGTTCTACTCTTCGCCATGCTGTTACACTTAGTCCTTGCCGCCGTAAACCAGATTTGCAATCAGAACAGTGGAATGGGGCATATTTAGAACCAGGTTCATTAGCCTTGAGTTCTGGTTTTGTGTCGGCTGGTTCTATTGTGAATGCAGCTGAGGATTCAACTTGGCAGATGAATAAAGACGAACCTCCAGGATCGTCACCTAAAGTGAAAGCTATTCCACCGCCGGTTAATGTCTACGTAAGTAAACTTTTGTGGGTTCAAGTTTTATGTTTAAATGTATCTTTACATTTGAATTGATTTCACATATACGATCACCCAAATTCCAGTTGTTCATCACCACTTAAAGTGCGTTCATAGTTTAATTTAGTTATAATTCTTTCCAGTGATGTATTTATTCCACCTGAAAAATAATCCACAAGTAATATCAAGTATTTATAATTCTGGCGGCTTGTTTCTCATATTATATTTGCTCAAAGATATTCTAAGAAAACTTGCCTAACTGACTAGTAAAAGTGATTCACTTTCATATTTAAGTGTTGGTTTGTAGGGATTTGATTGGTTACAGAATTTCATCATGAGCTGATAGTGGTTAGACAACCACTGGAAAACCTGTGAGTACTCGACAGTTGTTTCGTCCTAGTTTGGGACTCTTCAGCAGCACTCACTCACTAGTGTTCGAACCCAGGACCTTCTGGTTACAAGGCGAGCTCGTATACCATCACTTTAACATCTTGGCAGTATCTGCTTTCCCTTGAGTAAGCAGAAGCCTACTTGTAAATAAAAATAAGTGTAAAAGTGTTTATTTGCCTTCGAACTTTCGGAATAGTACGTAGTATTTAAAAAAATTAGATCCAGAATCACTAAATAAGGATTTTAAGCTATAAAATAATATAAAATTTGTATTTTTTGTTAAGTTTATTCAGTAATAGTGACAGTTAATTTATGCCTTAAATTTTAAAAAGTTTGCTCCTCTTCTTGTCTACAAGAGCTCAATATAAATTTATTGGAATGTTTAATGGCTGGAGGCAATCAGCAGGAAGCCATGGACCTAGGTTTCGTGCTAGTTGGAACTCACAAGTCAGCAAGGCGTATCTGCTATTCTGAAGGAACCCATGTTAATTCTGAGATTCGAACCGCGCCACTCAGTGAGTACTGCAGTCAGAGACGCTACCACTGAGCTGTTCGGCTGCGCGACTGACCTCCTGTAGGACTGAATTCAAGATTTAGTTAGTAGCTAGTGTTAAATCAAATTACTGTTCTAATGTTGATAAAGTTGAATCATGGATCAAAATGTCGTCTACCAGTAAGCCCAAAAAACTGACACATATAACAACCTACATATTTTCTCTGCGGCTTGTATTTAACAGACTATCGCTTATGATTTACTGAAAATAATCTATTCTTTTTAAACGTTGATGTATTTCAAATCTTTGTCTTCATAGTTTATAATAGTAAAATTAGAATACTATACAATCAATGTACATTTTATCTGTAGTGTTAAGGCAACTGGAATTAGAAACTTTTCATTACAATGTACCTGAATCAAATACTCGCCCTGGGAGATAACCTCGGTTACCTACATGTCTGGAATAATTAATGATCTATAGAAGGTATAATGTGAACTAAGTACTTTCTTATACAATCGATAAAGATAAGATAAAGTTTAGAGTATTTCAAGTGACTGCTTCTTCAAATCATTAACTGGAACTTAAAATTTATTAAACATTTGAAGTGTCTCGTCAACAATCACTTTCAAGTTATTGCATTTCACATTTTATTGCATTTGTCTCAAAAACAACTGTAATTTCAATCAATTGACTATAAAATTAATCAAATTAACGTCATATTTAGAAAAAGTGTTTGCAATATGAATTCGTACTTGCTTGATTCATCAATTTTGAATCGAATTACTAGACAACCCATCTAGGGAAATAAAGAACCAGAACAATCAATACAAAGACTTTCCACATATAGGATTAATCCAAAAACACCTTAACAATCAATAGACATTAATGTAGGTTACCTAATTAGCAGTATATCATGGAGGCATGCCTGCATTCTTGGCTTTGAGTAATTCTAATCAAACTGAATAACTTCATGCTGAAAGTGAAGATGCTGCAGAATCTGAGTTATCCATCTAATACTAAATAAGAACTCATCGTTCTCCTGGAACTTGTACTGCACATTTTGAGCTATCGAATCTCATACATATTTTTCATTTGCCCTCATACAAAAGTTAATGTAGCACTGAAATCAGTGTCAGTAAGCACTACAATCTATAATTCAAAGTAGAAAATGGAGAAAAGAAGTTGATGTATGAACGACTCCATGTAATAAAGTAAACTGCTGCATAATTACAATTAATTCCTAATGTGTTAAAGAAGTCTTCACATTTTGATGGTCAGGATTTCAAAAAATTCTGCCTGTTAATTAGGTTTCTATGTATGTCAATCTAAAATACTTAACAAAATCAAACTGTCCGAAAACATATTGTGTAATAGGCAACTACTTTAGGAGCAATATTGTGTCTGATGATTTAAGCTGTATTTTTACATACTTTGCTACTTGTTCTGTAGCTTTTACTTTCAAAAATTGATCGATCCTCCTACTGTACCTTCTACCATGCTTACATATAAACTGAGTATTACGCTAAGGTATGATTTCAACGTTTTATATTCTGTGCGAATATAATCGAATAACTATTTATAAAGCAATATAAAATGTTCTATCGAAGAACAACACATTCACCAACCTGAAACAACCAATCTGGAAATCTTCGTCACTCAACATCAACAACAAAATTCGGTCGGATTTTCAATACAAACATCAAATCATTCAGTTCTATACGGATCAGAGCCTTGGCGGGCGGGTCACAAAGAATAATTTCAACGGCCTGTTGCAGACCTTTACCAACAAGTGTCTTCGCTAGCTCTACACTGAAGATCAGATGGCTGGGCCGGAAAGAATCACCAACAAGAAGCTATGGCTGGGAACAAACAAAACAAGAACCAATCGCCCAACAAATATGCAAGAGGAAGTGGAGATGGATTGGACAGTAGCTGAAGAGGCCACCGCTGGGTGACATCGTGCGTCAGGCCATTGCTCGAGTGCAACCCGATAGGGAAGCGGCGAGTGGGACGTCAGTGAAAGGGTGACAAGGAGGAGATCGTGTGAAGAGGAGTTGAAAGAGTGTGGACTAACATGGATACAGGTGAAAAGTACAGCAGAAGGAAGACAGAAGCAAATGTTGAAGCCATATGTTCCACTAGGAACCCAAGGGAACAATAATAATAATAAAATCGAAGAACACCACAGCGATGTCATTTTATATGCAGATTTTGAGAATCCTCACCAAACAAAGGAGGTGATCGGTTAATTATTTTTCGTTTTTGTGTCAACATTTAAGAGATTTTAGAAGACAAAACAAAGTTGCAGAGAAGAAAATTGTTTTCTTCGACGAAGTCATCACTTATGAAAACATAACAATGGAGTAAGAAAGTACTAGAATTGCTGCCTGTCAGTGGTCCACACAAAGTGAATAACAAGAAGTTGTGCAATACAGACATGGATTAAAATGAGAAAATAAGCGGAAAGATGGCGCAGTAAACATAATTAGGCAATAATGATTCTCTGAAAAAATAGGCTGACTATAAATGCAGTGCTTTCAAATACATAGCATCGTCTTGAAATTTTGAACAGCTAATACTTAAGTCTCGTTTCAACTACAGGCGGAACTGATGCAGGTATCAAGGCGAGGATAGGGAAAGCAAGGCAATTTTCATTACTCTCAATTCTCTGTGGAGATCAACAGCACTCAGCATGAAAAATAGGATACGGATTTTCAACTCCAATGTTAAATCAATGCTACTTAAAGGATCAGAGACTTAGCGCGTCACGACTGGCACTTTCACCAAACTACAGACTTTCATCAACAACTGTCTTCGCTGAATACCACTCAAGATCAGATGGCCATAAAAGTCCAGCAATAGTGAGGGATCTCTGGAAGCAAATCAACCAGAAACTGATTGTGCAACAAATACACAGGAAGAAATAGAGGTGGATCGGCCGTGCTCTGAGAAAACCATCAAGTGACGTCTCACGACAGGCTATCACTCGAGTAGCCCTCAACGTGAAGCGGCGAGTTGGTCGTCAGTGTAAGGGTGACATGGAGGAGGTCATTCGAGGAGCATATGAAAACCAAGTTCACTTTTAACGGTTTGAAAAAATCTGGGCATTGGGTATATGATATTCATTATAATAAAGGTTTTTGTATTTACCAATGAATGAAAAACAAAACGATATTGTTTTGACTGACGTTTCTCTATTTAATTCTATTAGCTTTATCAAAGTATTATTAAACCGGAATTTACAAAATCTCAGCATATATATAACAAAGAGTTAAGAGGTGAGAAAAATAGACTTAGGTCAATTTAAAGGGACATATTGAAAGTCAAAATAGCACTGAAGATCACTAAACTAAATAAGAAAAGTAATACTACATCTGTTATGGTATCAAAACAAAGTCTACTCACTTGATCATCGTTCGTCAGTTTGAAGTCATTTTTCGTTGTTAAGTCGGTCAATTGGTACAGATAATAAGACCAAGTGTAGATTGTTGGATTTGATCAGTGTGTAGAGTTATGAAAGCAGTGTGTGTTTACACAGTGAACTTGCTTATCATATTCGTGTTGATTTTGTCACTTCATGGTGGAGGGGAGGGAGGTGTTTTAACCAGGTCAGATTCTGTTTTAGTCCATCATTACTATTCAGTTCAGGCAATTTGAATTCCACTTGATATGAAGTGCTTCTGATATTAGACGTTCTTTGTGATTTCTAAAGTTTTTTCTGGATTATTTCAATAGTGTCAAAATCAATTTATTGGCCTGATTCTATAGCGTGTAGACCGTCCATGGATGATGATTTTTCAAATTTTTCTAGTTTAACCTGATTTCTCGGTGGTTGAACAGATGCTCTATGGTGTTCATTTCTTCTGATTTTAATTTCTCGAGATGTTTGTCTGATGTGTATCGCATCACATTCCAAGCATTTTATTTTATAGACACAATTAGATAGAGAATCTTTAGGGATTTTGCCTTTTATATGAACAAGGTTGTTTAGCAGTGTGTGTGTCTGATGTTTTGAAGAAAACTCTAATGTCGGGCTGATTGAGCACTCTTCTAATATTGTCTGACGTCTCTGCTCTATGTGGAATGTCGACTGTTGATGTCCATATTTTC